TCAATAAAATCACAAAAAATCTTTCGGCGAATGTATCAAATGTTTTCACAAGAATGCGATAGAAACTAGGTTGATTAAATTTAAAGAGAAAAATTTAGAGCATTGAAAGTAAAGCAAACTTGACCTTTATTTTGTGTGCATAGGTCAAATTTTTTAAATTGGGCATAAATGCACCTTAAATGCACCGTCTACGCCCAAGACAAATGTAATAAAATGTACTTTGTATTTATCCAGAAAGCAAAACAGAACAGCTCTGTCAATAGCTTCAGATGTAACAAAGAGCTTTGTACATTTTATAATTTCTCTCATTTTTCATATAATTTCACTTTGGTTAATTACAGTTACTTCGACTACTAATCAAGGTTAGCATATATTTTCTTTTGTTTTAAATAAATAAAACAAAAAAAAAAACAACGTATCTGTTGTCGACCTTTTCTACGCATTAAACAAATATTGAATCTTTGATGCATTCGTCGTACAGCCGGACGTTTGCCCGAAATTCTACAATGATGGAATTATGTAGCTTCTCGAAGAACGGCAAGGATTCAAAAGTCAATAGTGGCCTTTATGCAATTTGAATAAAAAAAATAAAAAATTTTCCTTTCAACTAAGAAAGAAAGATTTTTATCGTTTTAGTCAAACGTTTTGGTATTTATTGCGTATCTTTTCCAAAATACTGATGCATTCAATCCAACTAAAAGAAAACGGACTTAGTCCAATTTGTAACTGAAATAGCTATTCAGGCAATACGAAGTGAAAAAATTTATTAACCTAAATGTATCCCTACATTTACCCCTACACCCAAGCAGATAAATTCCTTCAAGATGGTTTGTTCCTTTTTTCCTTTTTTTTTTTTTTTTGTATTCTTGATTGTGTTTGTTTGCATACGAGAGAAATTGCTCAAGAAAATCGTGACTTGAAAGGAAAAGAAAGAAAACCATATTCGACTCAACTTATTATCTGAAATAATGTGAGAAGCAAAAAAAAAAAAAAAAAAAAAAAAAAAAAAAAAAAAAAATCCAATACTAGATAATGGACGTTTTTTTTTTTCGATTTTCATGCTAGTTTTGCAGGATAACCCGCAGAATATGAACAATGTATGTATAGCTTAGATAACAGGGTGAACTGCTTACTACTCTTGCAAGCCAATGAATAATGAATTGATTTAATGGCGTTCACTAAGTTATTTCGTATCTTTAACTGTGTTTGCTTAACTGTGTCTTCAACGTTTTGTAACAAATTTCTTATGCACCCTTCTCCCCGTAAGGAGTATTAAATGTAAATCTTTCGAAATAGTTGTGTGTGCAAATTTCTATCCTCTCTTACTTTGATTGATTAAATATTTAATTGAAAATTGCTGGCATTAAATGATGATTTGCATCTAAGATTCTCGCTTTGAGATCAAGAGTGGTAGTAGCAGTACTAGTAGTTGCATCACCTGTTGTCGTTCTCTTGTGTTTGCTTTTTTGTTGAAAATTTTTCCTTTTAATTTAATTAAATACGAACAATTGAATTCCAACAACGGCATTTTATGCTTTATTATGATTAATTCAATACTTTTTTTTTTTGTTTCTGTTGTTGCATATAAGTTTATAATTTACCACAAACACACAAAGATACGCTGTGTGCATTGAAAACCGTCATTTAAAATATTTATGCAAATTAATTTAATTGTTGGCGATTAAATATTTTAAAACTCTTAAGCACACACACACACACACAAACACATACACACACACACATGTACATACTCAGTTGCCATGAGTGCTCAATTACATTTATAACTTTACTCATATGCATATTTATCTCTCTATAAATGAATAAATCCGTATAGGCGTTTGTTTATATGCATGTGTGCGGTGTGCTTGGTTACTTATGCATATGTGGACCAATTGTTATTTTATTATCACAGGATTTATTTGTGTGGAAATATTTTGTGGCAAAAATATTTTGTGTGTACGAATGCTATTTGTGGCCTGTTGAGTATTTCATTTTATTGCAATTTGATGCTGTTGTTGTTGTTGTTGTTGTTGTTGTTACTGTTTTTTGTATTCATGTTGCTCCTGATAGAGCGCAGTGCGAGAAGGAAAAAGAGCAATTGTTTTCAAAAGCTCATAGTGTCTGCCGGAAATTTATATATTTAACCACTGACACACACGCGCGCACACACTTATACAAACACACACACATACACACACACGCGCATACGTATATACATATTTGTGAAACTTTTCAATTTAATAAAGCAACAGGCTTGCGTATGAAAATGCTGGGCGAATGCTAAACACCCGAATCGGACAGACCTACGTATGGTGCAATGTAATGTAAAACTTATGGTTTGTCTAAAACTTTGCGCATTTTGCAATTATTAGGCTATGAAAACTAAAGCATCCTATAAGACATTAATGTTCAAAACTTAATTTATTGAAAAATGAACACAACATTTATAACACACATATATATTCCCGATTCTTTTCAATATCCAGTCCATTTAGAGCTATATCTCGTCCCTTCCCTGGCACATTTGCTTGTCGATTTATATATATATATATATATATATATATATATACAATATATACAAGCCAAATCACGATTACAAATAGCTATCCATCGTCTTCTTCGTTGCTCTGTCACATGAAATTCGCACGCCAAACATGAAAAAAAAGAGGCGTGTTTCATATTAATAATTTTTGTCACTTCTCCTATTTCTTCTAACTAAGCAATTGTGCATATCGCTTTCTAACACATCGGTGAATACGTGCGTACTTTTAAGGCAAGTTGATACTGGTTACAATAATCGTAACGATTCGTTAATAGCTGCGACATCTATATGTCATCCCAATGCATTTTAAAACAATTCTCTTGACCGATTTCGTTCAATTGTCCCTACTATTGGGAGACAGTAAAGCGAAGCCTAAATGCAATTCTTGATCTTTCCAAATTTTTCTCAAGCAAAGAAAAATGTTAAGCGGTCGTTGAAGTAAACAAAAGGTTTAAACTTTCAAAAACATCTTATATATATGTGTAAGCATATGTTGACAATATATACTGAGGAGAGGACGAATAATGTTAATAAAATAAGGAAAGTCATTGATATAGATTTTCTTGGAACCCTGCGTATGCATTTCGTTCTAAAGATTTCCATATGAAAAATGCGTGTCGTTTGCGTAAAACTGGATACATTAAAAAATTTAATGTTCGAATGTCCCATGGATTGGCATAAAAAAATTGGAGTCACTGAATTTCCATCAACAAATCCGTACTGAAATCAATCCGGGATCTATCGCATAGTCCTTCCCAGTATTACCGGTTTCTCCCTTTGAAGAATGTGGAATTGAATTCGAAAGATGTTCGCAAAGATAATTTTACTCAGGTTTTCGCCAAAGAAATTCCACAAGTTCTATTATGATGTCATAAGAGATTTATCAGAAAAATTGCAAAAGATCATAGAGAGTAATAATCATTATGTGTTTCATTATTCATAAAAAAAAAAAAAAAAATGCATTCGTATAAAAAATGAATCTAATTAAAGGAAGGAAGGCGAAAAACCAACCGCATGTAAGTTATGAATCTTTCTGGCCCTTACGACTGCAGCATTTCGGTGATGGTCGGTGTAAGCCGTTTATTGCATTTTTATGCGTTTCAGATGGATTGTAACGATATCCTGTAATCAGTTCTGTATGCGGTAGAACAGATAGACAGATAGACAGATTTTCGTTTTTGTTTTTTTTTTTTTTTGCTATTCATCTATGACAGTTGGGGAATTAACTTGCCATTGACATACGGATCGATATGAATGCTTCAAACAACCGATTGATGATCTGTTGAAAGTAAATCAAATAGACATACGGACAGATATGAATAGATTAAGAGAAGAACAGATTGAAAAATCCGTGGCAACGGAGGAAAGGCTATAGACGGACATACGGACTGGCAAAGTTACGTATGGACGAGAGACGGGCGTATGCAAACCTCCGTGGAATGGAGACATGGGCATACCTTATCCTTACCGCAATCGCTTATTGAGCAAGAATAATTGCTTTAGTAATTCATCTAAAAGCTCTGACAATGGAAGGACGGACATTCAATATTAAAAGCTACTTATTGCACAGGAAGCGGTCTAATATCGTAATGTCAGCAAATAGTTGTATTAGGAATGTTTACACTTTTTACATTTGTTATTGTTGTTTTTGAGGTTTGCTCAAATATTTAAAAGCATTTGCACCACTTGCTTAATATGAATTCGCTTGAAGCGAATGTATGTAAATATTGGGCGTGTAGTACAAAAAGAATGCAATACAGATCATTGACGAGAGTCTTTGTCTGCTGATCAATTCATTAGCATCAAATGCGCGCATATATCTTGCGCTATGTTTATTTGAATATGATTTCATGTTGCTCTTAAGAGAATCTAGGTAAAAAAGGTTTGATCGATTGATCGATTGATCGATTTCTTGTAGTCTCTCGTAATGTAAATTGTAAAAGTCATATGTACTTTCTTACATTGTTGTTGGGGTTTTTATATTTAATGATCTAATAGATTTATATGAACGTGTGGCCTATGATGGGATTTTTTGTGTTGCAAACTATTTTCTAAACCGAAATTTTGTGTTAAACTTTTGCTTCAAAACCGCAATTTGTCCCCGAATCCATCACAATAACTCTAATGCGGTTTAGAGTTTGTTTTTGGATAACTTTGAACCAACAATTTCAGTTTAATTGTTGTTTTATAAATAAATTCATTGAAAAACTTTAGCCAGGATGTCGGTTTATCTGAAGGTTATTTAGTTTTTTTATTTGGATAATTCGTTAAACACTAAGTTAATTTAACCGCTGGCATATTTCGATAACACATAATTATGAAAAAACTTGATGTGATAAAATTATTCGCTAAATGAGGTAAACTGTTGTGAAGGGTGGGGGGGGGGGGCAATAACGAAATCAAGTCTTTAAATACAAACTTTTGTAAAATATTATTTAATCGCTACTGCATAACATACCTCTTCAAGCTCTGGCCAGTCAGCGAAGCCTGTAAATAACAAAAAATTCTATCAATAAATTAAATCAGAAATGAACGAATATATGTTTAATAAAAGAGCTTTACATAAAAGTAGAAAAACATTAGAATGATTTTATATTGAATTTAAACGTCATTACCGTTGTTAGCATACTGGCTATCGCAATATCTCCGTTATTTATATGAATTTAGTTACTTGCTTAATAACGGATTTAATACGAAGCGGTCGAAGACAGGATATCGTATTTGTCATCCCAATTTCATTGTGGTTGCCGGGTGCTTTAGCCTGACAAGGGAATCGTCCCTTCGAGGAGTTTCGTGGCGGTTATGGTTTACCCGAACCGAGGGGGGGACCATCTATTCTTACATTGCAATTGCTGATTTCCTGTGTCCTAGAAAGACGGAGGTCTACATTGGACTCAGCCTTACCACACGAGAGGACCTGATCATACACAAGTCTTTACCTGGAACACGGACGGCAGATGTGCGGTGGTGTGCACTCCCTAGTGTTTACCTGGAACACGTAATTTAACCTACAGAGACATCTGTAATTGTCCGGTTGTCAGCCCCTCGGTCTAGCCATTCACTAACTTATTTCGTTTGTTTGTCTAAATGTCCCTTCCTACTATTAACCATCAATCAGTTTGCTGTCTGAAAATAATGTGTCAGATGGTTTTCAATTACCTATTCATGGAAGCAGGTACAAAGTTGTCAAAAGGATTACCTTTCAATACCATATTTGTCATGATTAAGTAGGACGTGCGGACTATTATATAACAAACTTATTCAATTTAAATCAAATATTCTTTTCAGTTTGTTCGCCTTCAATTCCAACAAAGTAGTTACACATTTGTTTGGGGAAAGAGACTAAGAAGCATTTTTGCCCCTCCATGACATAATATATATATATATGCACTGATCGGATTTCATCATATTCATGGCCATATCAAGAACGATATTTCGGTCCATAGTTTTAAATAAAATAGTTTTTCATGCCCTAAATATCAAAATAAATATGAGGAAAATTCTTAAGAATTTATACAAAACGCTGTACAAGTCTAGCGAAAAATATCCGCTGCTTACGCTGAAAATGCTTATTCAGATTTGTTCACTTCCGTTCTAGAAACTTCGATACGAAAATTGCCCATCAATCTGATCGACCAGTCAGTGAAAAAGTCAATGAAATCTTACAAAAAATCGTAGAAGACCGACCGACATAACGTTTCTAAGGAATCGAGCGTCCATGATAAAGTAGCTTTAAATCGTTTGCGTAAAGCTGAATATAAAAAAAAAAGATCGAAGTTTTTTAGGAGGACTCAAAAACGAGCTTGTCGACCGAAAAGATCGGCGAATTATGAGGAATGGCTTCAAAGTCGCGATCAACGCCCTATACGGTTGTGCTACGTGTAGGATCCAATTACAAATAAATTATATATTAGATGCTCCGATCTGATCAAATGATGGATTTTGGGACCTTTGCTAGCAGCAACAGATTTACGAGAAGTAGATTTAAGCAAGCGAGGCACAAAAACCAGCCATAATTGGTAAATAAAAAGGGTATTGTCTTCCATCAGAGCCCACACACACACACACACACACACACACACACACACACACACACAACACATCTTTAATGAGTTCACTTGACTGGTACGGGATTTTGACTCATTACTTATTGCTCGAAAACAGCTAAGATTTAGTTTAGCTAAAACAAAGCTTATAGATGACCATTTTTTTCCAAAATTTGTTAAATTGAACCCTTTTCTTAGATATGGCATTGAATATATCGCTAAGTAAAGGAGAAGAAATGATTGAATTACTTGAATGTTTCCATTGAGAGAACATAACCGTTGCATATAGAATGTGTAATTTAACCCACTTGTAGTTAAAGAACACTGATACACTGAAAGACGAAAATTAAAAAAAAAATTGTACAGGTATTCGTTTAAAAGCGAATTATCGCTAGCTTGTCATCTTTAAGCTGAATGCGCTAGTCAGGCATCTTTGGACTGAAAACAAAGTGGCCATCATCAAGTCTTACGATCAGATCTAGCAACGCGAAGACCTTCACATATTTTAACAGCATTTAAGTGTTTTGTGTAAAATTGTAGAAATTTTACTTATTCACTTTAAACCAAAGAATTGCAATAAAATTCTACATAAAAATATTTGAAATAATATTTTTAAAAACTTATATAAAACTTTAACGCTATACAACAATATATACATACAACAATTTATACATATATATATATATATATATATATATATATATATGTATAAAACAAATATATATATTTGTTTTTTTTTTTTTTTTTTTTTCTTTACCTTTAATAAGTGGAACTTGAAACTACATGAAATTACAATCAGTAAATGGAACGAATATAAACAGAAATGTAACAAAAAAGAGGAACATTGAACGCATTATTTGGACGGCAAGGACAAGAGCCCCAAATATGTGGCAATTCCTTAAGAGTTGAAATTATTTTTCATGTGCGTATATGCGTCTGGATGTGTATGTGAATTCGTACGAGACTTCATTGTCGTATACAATAAATTAAGAAAAGTGAAACTAAGTAAACGTGGGGATATTTCTTTCTGTGCTCTCTTAATGAATACATGGCAAGTGACTAGTAAGTAATTGCTTGTGCCTGCTGCATGCATGCACACAACTTTCGTTGCGGCATTTTCGCAGTGTTATGATGGGGACCAAAATTATCTTGTAATGTGTTGCTTTTATTTTTTCACATTTGCGGTATTCCCACAGGGAACATGATCTGCTTTACCTTCATCTTATATGGCGTTAGCATGACCATCGATACCTTTACGCCTTAAAAGAGAAGATCAAATCAATTGATAATTGGGGAAAATTTTATAGCCAATCACTGCTAGAATAAGTAACGTTCTAGTTAAAGGTGTGTTTTTATTGCGAATTCAGCTATGATCCCGAATTTCGTCTTATCCATGAAATTTTTCGATTCGTATTCATTTTATTATGATTTTTGGCAAAGATTTTATAAATTTATTATCCTCCTCGAAATATATCGTTGGATGACGCAACAATAGCATCGTCATTATGTGTGCTGACTAGTAAAAAACTCAATGATATATGAAATCCTTGCGAAAGTAGCGAAGCAAAAATCTTTACTTAAAAACAAACTAAAAAACAAAAAAAAAACACTTAAGACATCCAGTGTTTGCCAAACACGATGTCAGATACCTTTCAATATTGTTCCACACACATTAAGCAAAACTCTTTGATCTATGGTCTAAGAAAATTTATCCATTAAGTTATGCGGGAAGATATTGAAGCGTCGATACAAAATTCTGCTCTCCGTTGCCGAACAAATCTCAACGCTAGCCAATTAAGTGCACTAAACGGTCCATTTTTGATTTGCACTCTATAAAATGTTTGGTCTTCCGAAATACACTAAACCCTCAAAAGAATCCGACATTCATATATAGTCATATTTACTTAACGGGGGAAACCATCAATGTTGTAGCTTGAAAAAAGCAGGTGGAAGAATAGGCGATAGAATAACGAGACGCGGGGGAGTCACATTACGCACATATGTAACTATTAAATGATTCTTCAAAATTATTAGCAAATGGCAATAATGCCGTCATTCTAACGGTGTAGGTATCCGTAGTTTAAGCGGTCTGAAGCTCATAAGCTATCCGGTGTAGAATTGAATTTAGAAGAGAAAACAAACAAGAATCACTTAATCGATATGTTTGCGGGCATTTCATGTAGAAAGTTTCTTTTCATTCAACGTTCAAAACATCTATCGCCCCAATTAAAGAAAATGTACCACGCCTATTTTTAAATCTGATCTTTAGCTCTAAGCTAATTAAATTTTGATTCGGCTTTAGATGTCCACGCCAGTTTGGGCGACGATGGTACACTTGACAACAACAGAAAGATAGACGCACGCAAATCGAATACTTTTTAATCAGTGCAACCCAAATAGCATTCATAGTGTTCTGGCATCTTCGAAGTTTGCGAGAAGATTTTGTTTCAATGACTCGTCGTTGAAGCAAGCTATGCAATTCAATCGAAAGTGATTGTGCTTTTTTTCCACTCACTTATTTTTGTTTGTTATGATCAATCCGTCAAGCGTGAGCGGACTCTCATTGGATGAAATTGGATATTTTGGATATTTGTTTAAAGCCGAATCATAATTAATACGCATTAGTAAGTTGCTTGTGGAGGTACATTTGAATAGAACATGTTCCAACATTCAATTTTCTATCTATCGTAGTGATCGTACAACGCATATATTTCAGCTCATATCTATATACGATTTAATATCACTTGATAAATCACTATACAAGTACTGAAAAGTACTTATTATATATACCTCGTTTAATTTCTGCATAGCGTAGCTGTTAGCAACTGCCGGCAAATTAATAAAATTGAAATCATATTAAGGAATAGCAAAAAACTCTAGATGCTCTAGGAATGTGATCAATAACAAAGTTATTTTGAAAAAAATGTATTAGATAATGACACGGACGGGACTTATCTAACTCAAGCATTCGAGCTTCACGATCATAAGTATGCCATAAAGCCAACTGCGAGCGTTTTTCCTATACGCTAACTCTACTTTCCCTTTGTCATCGGGGTAATGTTTTAAATCTTTATTGATTTTAAATACTTTTTCTCAGCCGAATTATTACGAACTTAAGGAAATTCCTCAAAGAAGCGCCGAATCGAATATTTTACAAACTCTTGTACGCTAACAACCTACCTTGACCAGGATTAGGCGTTTTTATCTATACGCCCATTGTCTCACTACAGATCTACTACTACCTCTGGACTAACAGACTCAGTCTGCTTTAATCCTGGCATATATTGTAATAACCTTCATGTAATGGTCTTCGTCGAAAAGTACATAGATATATATAAAAGTTGTTTTGTATATAGTAAGGTAAAGTGAAGTTGAAAAATCTGGTTTAAGCTGCATGTTGCAAATAATAAAGAAAAACTTTACAAACTATAAAATCTGAGT